TGATGAGTATATATGAAAGAGAAAAGAATGAAAGACACATGCTCTAACAAGACCAAGGGATTTATACTGAAAGAAAGAGGGGTAAGCCATGGCTAGGAGGTGGGTTAAGAAGTTTTCCAGGTTTGTAAGGACCCATCAACAGGTTAAGGCACACACAAGTACTCTTCACCTTCATGTCAGCTGGTTTGGTAGAGAATTTATCTCTCCGCTCCCCATGCTCATCATACAGCAACACCACTCGGTCTACTGTGCAGACAGCAAATTTGGCATTGTTCTGTGACCAGGCCATGCAGGTCACTTTTGCGGCTCCATCCTGCAGAGGAAAAGAAGTAAAATAAATGCAGGTGCTGGTCAAAAATGTCAAAAGCATTTCCAGTTCCATTACATCTAGTGTGACTTTGGTTCACTTTTTTTTCCTATTACAGTTCTTTCCTTAAAACAAAAAGATAGCTCTGATCCTTCCTGGTCTTCAAGGCCATCAGCTCCTGTACTGTGAGAGAAATGTGCTTTTAAAGACTCATGATGCAAATACACTACACTGACTGTACCAATGTATGCCTGTAATGGCCTCCTTGTTCCCTCATATCCCAGGTCTGCTACTAAAATAAATTCAATGGCCTGATAAGTTTTAGTCTTTAGCCATTCATAAATACTTTTGAGTAATTAATGTGTTACTGGAAAATGCATTTGGCCAGGGCTGAAAGAGAATTAAAGAGCAAAACATAAATCCTGCCTCGATATCTCATAAGATGGTGCAAAATAGGAAATTTTTCCTACAAGTACATACAAAGTGCTATAATGATTTGGAGAAGTCTGAGATAATTTTATGCTTAATAATCAAAATTAAGCATTAAAGAATGGATGCAACTGAGTGGGAAATTACTTGAGATGCAATGAGCATGAACAAAGGCAAGTTCTAGTTAAGAAAAAGTAACTGAAAATACCTTGCAAATAGAACAGAGAAGTAGGCAGGAAAATTTGAATGAAATTAGCTCATGAAGGGTCTTTCCAGCCAGGCAAAGGAATGTGGGCTTATTTGGCAGGAAAGGAAGAGATAGTGAAAGTCTTGTGATAGTGAATAAAATAATTAGTTTAGACTTAGGATGGACAATGTCACTTTTTCCCCTCTTAAGTACCTACTTCACAGGAGCCCAAGTTAGAAGTGGTCATCTTCCAGTGAATTTTTTTTGGTGGTACTGGGATTTGAACTCAGGACCTCACACTTGCTAAGCAGGTGTTCTACCACTTGAGCCACTCTGCCAGCCCTTTCTTGTGTTGGGAACTGTATGCCTGGGCTGGCTCAGAACCACAATTCTCCTAATCTCTGTCCCTGAGTAGCTAGGATTACAGGTTTGAACTAACAGCAACTGGCACAGGGAATTATTCTTACGGTATAACTGTCCCTCTGACTACCAGCTCTAGCCCTTTATGATTCTGACATTGAATCAAGGGTCTGGCACCTGCTATAGGCAAGTGCTCTACCACTTCATAAGGTTCCCTTCATGAAATTAAAAAGAATAGCGACTGCTCCAATTGTTTGATTAATTACCAGGGCACTACTGCTCTTGCTTAAATTATTGTCACTTTTAATTCCTAACCCACTTAACTCCAAAATTGGAAGTAAAAAGGCTCTTTTCACTCAAATCCTCAAACCAGAACCAGAAAATAGTCACACCACCACTGTCATCTTCCAATTCTTCATTACATTAGAAGGGTTGAGAGCTCCTCATGAGCCTTGGCTGATTATCCTCTTTTATGGCTGTGCCCAACCCTGTGCATCTGGCCCTACCTGCATCATGACATCATCTTATTTTAAGGGACTGAAGGATTCTATTTCCAATTTTTCCATTAAGGCAAAGGAATTTTCAAATTTCACGTTTCAGGGGCAGCATTCTGAGCAAGGAGCACAACCCTCTTTTGTCCTAATTTCTTCTGTTCTCCCAATGCCACATTCTCTGTGAAGCATTCCTGAGTCCCATAATCAATTAATTCTTCTTTCTGTACAACATGCAAGTACATTGTATTGGATTTTCATGAGGATTAAATGGTGTAGGGACTAGAGTAATAGAAGCTAACCTTTAACAAACACCATAGAGTAGGGATTTTTGATAGGCATCATCTCATTTCACTTCATAATTTTGAGGTAGATGCTATTATTATGCCCTTTTTACAGATGGGAAAATGAGGCACCAAAAGGTTAAGTAATTTGCTCGAGTTTACACACACGGTTTGTAGGTGGTGGAATCAATATTTAAATTCAGGTATGCCTGACTCCGTAAGTCACAACCTAACGTCATTAATTATGTTTCCCTGGCATACATTAAACAATCTTATTAGCTTTGGCTAGTCTCTTTTTAACTTTGAATCGCCTTCTCTTTTTTCTATTAATTTTCACAGTGCTTTTCAGTTTACGGTGCTCTTTTGTGTACATTACTTTAACTCTCTCTCCCAAGTCTCCTACAGCTGCTATTGTTATTGCTGTCATTTTCCAAATGAGGATGTTGGTGGCGTGCTCAGAGAGGCTGTGTGGTAAGGAAAGCCAGAGACATCAGGTCATTTGGTCAATCTAGTGGTGATGCCAGAACCTGAATTCTGCTCTCATTCCAGAGCCCGTAATGTTTCTTCATCAGCATGAAGATTCAGTCTTCCACCCTCCCCTTTTTAGGGTTTGCACCTAAGGTGCTTATTTCACTCAGTGTAGATTTATGTTCGTTGTCTGCACGTGCGCTCTCTCTCTAGGATGCGCCTCTTGAAGGCAGAGCAGTCACGCGGGTGGATCTGGATCCCTTAGATCCAAATCTAGAGCCCCAGCTCGGGGCCCGGTGCACAACTGATGCATGAAATGCAATGAAAGCTGCGGGCGTTAGAGGTCCATCTCGCCTACTGAAAGCTGTATCGACCGAGCAGAGTCTGGATCACAACTATCTGACAATTTTCTGCACATAGTAGGCGCTCAACATTGTAAACTTCGGTTCCCCCACTTTTCTAGGAACGTACAGTGGCCAGGGGAGGGAAGAGGCACGTAACTCCTCACCTGAGGGCTCAGCAGGGTCCTCAGGTGCTTCAACTGCATGACGCACACCTGTCTCTCAGATGCTACCAGACAGCGACAACTCCCGCGGTTACCTGGACAACCCGCCAAGCAGCCGCGGCGCCAGCCATTGACGCAAATGCGACGGGAACGCAAAAGACGTCACAAGGTCACGTCGTGGGTTCACCGCGAAGCAAATAGGACGCGCGCAAGCGCAATGAGATCTAGGGCGGGACCACGAGATGGTTTGATAGATCCTGCCCTTGACCAATCCCGTGGCTATATGCAAACCCAAGATCAAGCCCCGCCCACAAGCCTCAGGCGCGTTCGAGGTCCTACGTAATCGTAATCGCAATCCTTGTCTTTCTTGCTCCTTGATCTACGACAACGTGGTCACATGCGCACTGTTTTAGTCATCACACTGTAAGGGAAAGCAAGGCAGTTCCTACGACAGGCAAAGGCAGTTAACAGAATTGAACCCAAAGAAATTATGTGACTTGCTCAGGATCACAGGCCAATACTGATAGTTAACAGTGAATACTTAGTATGCCTGGTACTGTGCAAAATGTTGTGCATGCATTGTATTGTTTAATCTCAAAAACACCTTTTGAAAGGATTAGCATTATTACTAGTCCAATTTTATGTAACAGGAGATCTACAATTAAAGGGGTCACTTGTGAAGTTAACACAGCCTGGAAAGTGTGGAATTGGGATTCAACCTAGAGCTGGTAGATTTGAATCCCCTTTATAGTCCTTCTCAAGTCTTAGCTCACTATCTTCATGCCGAGCTACTATAGTCTGTAACACTCCTGTCCCAAGAAATGATTTCCAGACTCTGAGGAGTGTTTTGGAATCCTATTTGGCCATTGGGTAATGATGAGTTCAAGACTCCTTGAGTAGACTGGATGCTTTTATGGGTCAGGGTAGAGGACAGACCAGAGCATGGCTCACCTGATAGGTTAAAGTTAAGTCTTGTGATACCTGGGGTTGGAGCTTGGTTAAGTAGAAAAGATAGTCTTCCTGATCTTTCTTTGGACTGGGGTCCCTTTCAGAATTTTTGGTCTAATTTCTTGTAACATACCAGGGAGACTGAAATGCAGAAAAAGAGCCATTCATAAGCCTCCTCTAGAGTGATCTAAGGTTAGGAAGACCAATAACCCTCCCAGAAGTGTATCACATGCTCTCCAGACAGTTTCTGAGTCCTGAAGCTTCTCTCGGACAGTGGTTGCCAATGTCAACAAGTATTTCTCTCACTGCCACCAATTCCCTATTGGAAATTAGGAAAGAGTGGAGGAAAGCCCCTATTTTCACAGGAAACAGATAGGTCCTAGGGCCCAAATTATTCTTTTGGCAGGGGAGTCCTGGCCCCTAGGTTTTATTTCCAGACTCTTCCTCTGGACATGGTGACAGATGTGATATAATCTCATTTGTGCATTACAGTTATTATTGACTTTGAATGAGCAGAGACAGAGAGAGATGAAAGGGAAAACAAAGGCAGGAAGGGCACATGGCACCAAGGGATTCATTAGTGTAGCTTCTCTTTCCTTAGTTCCCAGGACTCTGCTCAGTCCTTGTCTGACTATTTGCCAAGGTGTGATGGAGATGTCAGAATGAACGGCGAGGAGCTGGGCCAGTGATGCAAGCAGTGAAAAAAAAAAAAAGCTACTGGTCCTATTAGGTGATGTAATGTAGTTTCCACTGGCACAGGAAGTACTTAACATCTTTTTCTTCTCCTTTTCCCCCTACTCACCCAACAAAGTAAAAGAAATGAGGGCTCTAGTTTCCTATACTCCTTCTCCCTGGACCTTCTTTGCCCATTTTAAGCTGAAGCATTGACATCGACATAAACACTCTACCATAAACCTGCTTCTGTAAGTTGGTAGTGGTGTTAAGGGCCCTTGGAGAGTCAGGAGAGAGACAAGGTGGGGAGATATCTTCAGCATACTATAGAGTATACCATACAGTCAGCTCCAGTTTGTCCAAGAACCTTTATTGGAAAAATGTCCCAGGGGTGAGACCACCAGCCAGCTGGAGGGGCTGCCAGGTGAGGGGGGAGCACCAGAGGCTCCGTGGAAGACATTGGAGTAGTGCAGTGCAGCATCTGTCTCTAGGCCCAGACAATTCCTCTTATTCGCTGGAGGAGGGTGAGTAGCCACAGAAACACCCCTCTCTGAGGATCACAAGCAAGATGTGGGGGCAGCTGGGGATGCCAAGAGTCCTGATGTAAGTGACATGGGGCCCCTATTTGGGACCTAATGGGACAGGGTTGAACAAGTTACTCTCCCTGGACCTGGGTGATGGGAGGAGATGTCCCATCTGATATCCACTCCTAGGTCCAGGGGTCCAGACTCTAACAGACCTACCTTCTGGCCCTGCTCACAATGGAAAGAGGACGGGCACCAGCCTGAGATTGTAGGAGTGCATTACTCTCTGGGAGTCTGAGAAGCTCACTATCAGGCTCTCCCTGACCCCATCCCCATCCCCATCCCCAAGTTGTTAGCGAATTTCTCTTCTGGTTCTCTTTCTTCCCTCAAACGCTCTTCATTCAAACGTCGATGGTGTTGATGGATGGTGACTTTTTCTGTGGAAGAAAATGACCTGGTTTCTAATTTCAAGAAAGTAATAGGTACCACCCTTACTCTCTAGCCTCTTCCATCCTAGACCTTCCCTTCTCCCCCCTTTTCTGGCCCTCTTTTGCCTTTTCCCTTTCCCTGGATGCTCCTCTGCACCCAAGTCACCCTTCCCACCCTCACTGGTCCTCACATCACCTGTCTTGTCCCCACTGGCCTTCCCTGAGGACTCTGTTCCGGTCCCTTCCCCTTCTCCTTGGGGTTGTTGTTGGAGTCATTGTCCTTGATGATGTCATACTGGCGGCAGAATAGCCCAATTACGGCTGAAAGACAACAATACCATCTGAGCCTTGACCTTGACCTCTCCACTCACAGATCTGTGATACCTGCACAACTTCTAGAAAATCCAAGAAGAAAATCCTTCAACTCCAGTCTTCATCTATGGCCTTTCAACAGCTTCCACTCATTCTCCTCAAACTTGTCCTGATTAACCATTTTCCCCACTCAATTTCTGTCACTCTCTTTTCTCCCGACAGAAAGCCTTCACCACCTCCTACCTTCACCAAGTCTCACTCTCTAAGACCCAGGTTGCCTATCCAGTTTCTTACTCACCAGCCCACATGAGCAACACCACCACAATGATGACCACTTCTCCTGTCTGCAGTGGTCGCTCTCCATCCAGACCCTCCACTGTGATGTCACCTAAGGAGAGAGGAGACAGACTCCTATTATAGATGACCTGCTAGAAAGCTATGTCACATACAGAATGGAGATACCAGGGATTAGTCAGGCTGGACCTTGTGTAGTGCTGCCCCTAGAGTTGTAGGGGCTCTTCTCTGGGAGGAAGGCTTTGGTGGACAGATGGTTAGACACCAAGAGGCAGGTCAAGGTGCAGAATTCACTCATGCAGGCTGCAGCTGAGGTGCAGAATTCACTCATGCAGGCTGCAGCTGATGTGATGTGACACTGGGTGAAAGGAAGCTTAAAAGCCCTTCCCCCAAAAGATTCATTAGCAGCTTGTCTATAGCTGGTCCCTGCCCACCTGTTTTTCCTTCCTTTCCTGGCAGTACAATGAATTAAATCATCCTTCTATTCATCTAAACTAGACTGTTACTTGCCTTGGGGAAGTAAAGAAAAGGTTAAAAAAAAAAGAGACTCCTCTAGCAGAGACCCTCACCTGGGTTGGAGCTGTTGGAGGGCAGCCGATCAGAGCCCTTGAGAGTTCTGAAGTGCACCCGGGGCCCTGGGGGGCTCTCTCCCCGAAGGCCAATGCTCCTGACCTGAACTGTGTAGTCGCTGTCTTCAGCCAGGCCCCAGAGGGCACAGGCTCGAGTGGTAGTATTCACCTCCCGGATCACACGCTGCCCAGGGCCATTCTGCCGCTGCAGGTAGAAGATGGGAGAGGAGGGCAGCAGTCACCCCAGTCCCTAGTCACAAGACTCAACTGGGGAGTCTGGAACATCCAAGCACTCCAAGGGAGTGGGGGGAAACACCAGCTCCCAGACTCCTCAACCTCTGGGAAGGAGTTTAGAGGGTGAAGGTAACCCAAGGAATGTTCAAAGATCCAAGGACACAGGTTGGGGAAGCAGAAAGGTGATTCATACTTGCTGGGAAATGGAGTAACCAATGACGATGTTGCCTTCTGGGACGTCCCAGGACACAGTGGCCGAGTTGGCTCTGAGGTGAGTGACCGTCACATTCACAGGAGAGGGAGGTCGGTCTGTGGGTGTCAGGGTGTTAGTTAACAGGGTAACAGGTTTTACCCCCACACTAGCTCTGGCTGACTCCCCCGCCCCCCCTTCCTCTCTACTCACCTGCTCGCACAAAGCCCAGGTCACAGCTGACCAGCAGGAGGACCGTTGGGCTTAGATAAGGGGAGAGGGGCATCAGCGAAGCCATGGTCCCCACCGAGTCGGCTGCGGGGCACTGGGGCATTCGCTTGACATCCAGGCGGGGCTCCTGGAGGAGGCAGGAGTTGTGGAGGTCAAGCAGTGCCCAGACGCACGGTTCCCCGGGGCTCTCCATGGCCCACAGCAGCCCATTTTCTTTCCCACGCCTTCCCTGCCCCCGCATAACCCTGGCGCCCCGGGCGCTCTGTCCGCCCTGCCCACACCCACCTCCCCCGGTCCTCGCGGTCCGTCAGGCCTCGGGGGGCTGTTCGATGCCCAGAGGGCGGCCCATCGCCCGACTGTGGCGCTGCCCCTACCCCATCCCGGCGCGGGCCCGGCGAGGCGGGCAGCGCGGGCCGAGCTGCGGGCAGAGCGCAGAGGCGGAGTGGGCGCGGGTCTGCGGCGCCCCCAGAGCTCGCCCGGGCCGCGCGGTCTGCCCCGGAGCAGGGGGCGTTGCCCGCGCGATCTGCCCGCTGGCCTGGGTCCCCGGTGTGGGAGGGCAGTGCGGCTGTGAAGCCGGCTCCTGCAGCGGAATGTGACCGTCCCGGCCAGCCAGCCGCCGCCTTCTGCAGAGCTGGCCCCGCGCGCTCCGCCGCAACCGGGCCGGGACGCGCGGGCCCGCCCCGCCCCGCCGGGGTTCTCGTCGCCGTCATCCCCCTCCGGCTCCCCCCACCGAGTTCTCTCCCGGCTCCTCCCACGACCCTCCCAATGGCGGCCTCCTGGCCCCCAGCCCTTCTCTCTCCCTGCTCAAGCCGTGGAGCCGGCGGGGACGCGGAGAGAGATGCAGGTGCGAGGGTCCCGGGCACCTGGGAGAGCCCTTCCTTCCCCTGGTGGAATTAGCCAAGCTGGGAGGAGGAATCCCACCTACGGTGCTGGAGGGCACTAAGAGGAGAGGAGACAGAGGGATCGAGATAATAATTGTTTTAACAATCTCTTGTAGACTGCGTCAGCTTTTAAGTAGGCTTCCCATTCATAAACTGATTTAATTCCTTTCGCTTTCTCAATCATCCTTTCATTTATTCTGTACATATTTTCTGAGCATCTCCTATGTGCCTGACATTATGGTAAGAGCTGGAGATAGTGACTGTTAAGAATGCTGGGCTTATAGGGACAATTAAAGAGCAAAGACATAGGGTTCTCATGTTTCTCTCTCTGTCTCTCTCTGTCTCTGTCTCTCTCTCTCTCTCTCTCTCTCTCTCTCTCTCTCTCAGACAAATTGGTTAACCTGTGCCTCAGGTTTCCCACCTGTACAGCACAGTGTTTGAAACCTCACAGGGTTATACATCTTAACATTACGATGTGAATGAATATTAATTTACTTCTTAGTTGTTGCACTCGTTCAATAAACATGTAAACCCTTAAATTATTTCATGCTTTGGCTGAGTATGAAATCTGGAAAGACCAGGTGCTCAGCCAGCTATGTGATCTTAAGCAACCAACTTAACTTCTCTGAGCCTGTTTGATCATCTGAAAAATGAGGGTGTCAAAATTGACTTCTTAGTATTGATGTACAAAATGAAGTACTGTATGTGAAAAGTGCCTAGCTCAGAGAAAATAGATGCTGGCTAATTGTATTTAGGGCAGATTCTCTGGCCCTACTTCTCACTGCTGTGTTTCTATTTCGGCAGCATTTTTCCTTTGTGATCTCCGTATCAGTGTATGCACACCTGGGGCTCTGAAGCTTCTCTTGCCTGCTTTCTGAGAGGGTAAAATGGGCCAGTGGGGCAGGGAGGGACTATGTGTGTTGAGCATGTGATCAAGCCATGGCCAGGTCCTCTGACTTCTGCTGACCCCAGGACCCTGATCTCTGACCTACTGGGGCATCCTGGTTTCAAAGCATTCTTGCCCAGGGATTCTCCCTCGTGTGGGTGCTGTCCTGTACTCCCAGGCTCCAGGCCTTCAGGAGAAGAAGGCACTGTGCCTGGAGGACAACAGTAATGAACCTCTTGTCCTTTTCTTTGGGAGTAAAGCAGAGGCCGGCAAAGAGGACACCCCAAAACTTCCCCAGAAGGCTGGGGGCCAGGAAAAGTAGAGGTGCAGGGGGTGGTGCTCAGAGAGGCCACAGTTCGTGGGTTAATCATCTCTGTGGCTGAGATAAGGCCCTGCCAACTCGAAGCAGAGTCATTGTGACCAGAAGAGTTCGTGTGGCTGAAGAGACAGGCAGGACACTGTGTTCACAGCACAGGACCATGCCAGGCACAAAACGGTTTCAACATGTGATTGAGACTCCAGAACCTGGAGAATGGGAGGTGAGACCACCCCCCCCCCGCCGTGCCACCTTTTTTTCAGACAGTTTTCCTATGCAGCCCAGGGTAGCCTCAAACTCCTGATTCTCCTGCCTCAGCAGGAATGCTGGGATTAAAATGTCTGCCACCAAGCCCAGCTGGTCTTTCTTGATATTGGCCTTCTGCACTGATTCCTAGAATCCTTTTTCATCTGTCCTTCCCTCCACACTGGGTTTCTGTTTCCTTCTCCTTTCTTCTTATCTTCCCTCCTGATCTTCCTTCCCTTACAGGCCTGTGAAACCAAGTACATGCTAAGTTCCTGGTGTGTGCATGTGTTTGTGTGTCTTCAAACACTGTGCCTCTCACCACTCCCACCTCCAGTGCAGCAGGCATGTACAGGCTTTGGCTTCCTGCCCCCATCTGGGTCCCCCTCTTCTCTAGTTGTCTGGGTATGAGGCAGCCGTGCCAATCACAGAGAAGTCAAACCCACTGACCCGGAACTTGGACAAAGCAGATGCTGGAAAAATTGTTCAGTTGCTGGGGCAGTGTGATGCTGAGATCTTCCAGGAGGAGGGGCAAGCCATGCCTGCATACCAGGTGACCCAGACCCTTCCCCATGACACTGCAAATTCAGATGCCAACCTAATCCTGTCACAACCTCCGCTCTCCCCCAGTATGGCTCATGATTTTGGAAACCCTGAGACCCTCCTCCTCCCCCCATCCCAGTCTGCCATCCTCCTTTTTTCTTGCTTCTGATTCCTGCTTGTTCCCTACAGCGACTGTACAGTGAATCAGTTCTGACCACCATGGTGCAAGTGGCTGGGAAGGTTCAGGAAGTTCTGAAGGTACAAACCTTCATCTGCTCTAGACTTACCCTACACTTTCTTTCTCTCTCTCTCTCTTTCTCTGTTTCTCTCTCTCTCTCTCTGTCTTTCGGTTCTCCCTATTGGATTCTTACTGTCATCTTATTCATCAATATCAATTATAATAATAACTGCTAGATGCATAATATTTTATAATTGACAGTGCACTTTCATTCCTATTACCCTTGCAAAAACCTGTGAAATGTGTTATTGTCTTTTTTTTTTTCAGATGAGAAAATAAATGCTCAGGCTAATCACAGTTGCTGGCCCAAATGTACCCAGCTGATAATTGCTGGATAATGCTGCTTTTATTATTTATTTTTATTTAGTTGACAAAACAGCTGTCAGTCCTGTCTGGAATAAGTAAGAGATTAAATAAGTAGCTAAAGTAGAGATGGGGGTCAAACTGAAAGCTCTTTCTCCAATCCAGTGCTTTTTTGCTACACCACATGGCCTTAGTTTTGTTCAGTTTTGAATGAGAAGAGGAATAAGGAGACCTTCTAAGTCCTTTTCCATAAGTGACAAAGAAAAGAACATTCTTCCCTCTACCTGAGCTGGGAATAACAGCTTTCCTTTCAGGATCCAGATGGGGGGCTGGTGGTACTGAGTGGAGGAGGCACCTCTGGCCGGATGGCATTCCTTATGTCGGTGAGTACCCTGATCCCCATCTTCCTTGCTGCTCCCCCTGGGGTTGACCCCCTGAACCAGAAAGCTCATCATAGGTAAGTTACCAGGGGGACCCCTCACTAAACCTGTGCTCCGTGCCTCGCTCTTCATCCTCCAAAAGCCAGATCCCACCATGGAGTCCCATTTCTCCTGACCCCACTGGAGCCCACCAGTCTATTACTAATGTCTCTACATCCCACACATCCCTAACTAATCATCTCTAAGTTGCATCCTTTCTTTGCTGTCCACAGTTTATTCTATATGCAAACATAATTCGATACACTGCAATTAAGTAGCATGGAATCCAAGTTGCATCTTAAGTGGCAGATTCCAAGTAGGAATTCCAAGTAGGACTGTGTCAAGTTCTGGCCTAAGAGAATCAGCCTATGGCTTCTGCCCTGTAGGAGTTGAAAATTCAAGCTAATTGTTCCTTCACTATCATTACCTCTTTACATCCTCTCCCTCTCGGCAGGTCTCCTTTAACCAGCTAATGAAAGGTCTAGGACAAAAACCTCTTTACACCTACCTCATTTCAGGAGGTGACAGGTGAGTCAACTTGGCATGAATGTTTTGCTTGGCTTGAATAACTTTAGACAAAGATTATACCCAAAATGCTGCAGTCCCCACCATTCCTTATTACCTTACATTTTACCCATTTCTGACTGGCCCTTGTAGGCATCTGAGTTCTTCAACTCTGTCATGATGTCTAAACGTAGGTACTCATTCAATGATAGTTTTCTTTCATTTCCTTCTCTCAGTGTGACCTTCCCTAATAAACCATAGGTGTCTGCTTCCCAACCAGTGCCAGTGACCTTGTGTCTGCCCTCTTAGGTCTGTGGTGGCCTCTAGGGAGGGGACAGAAGATAGTGCCCTGCATGGAATTGAGGAACTGAAGAAGGTTTGTTCCTTCCACTCATACTCAACCAGAGACCTTTGTTCCTTTTCATGGGGACAGTAGCCCCAACATTCAGCCAAAGCCTGTTCCCATCCTTGGCCCTGGCCTTGATATAATCACAATAGATTTGTACCTTTCCCATCCTCTCCTAGGTGGCTTCTGGGAAGAAGAAAGTGATTGTCATTGGCATTTCAGCGGGACTGTCTGTAAGTATGAAGGCGGGTGGAGCGCATCAATTTTACAAGGAGGACGGGGCTGGGAATGGACAGCATGAAGGCACATTGATGAGGAGGGCATTAGAAAACAGAAAATTTGCACAGGGAATTTTTATTTTAGTTTTACTAATGTGGATCCAACTGTATGGATATGGGAAGAGGGGAAAGGACCCTATCTCAGGGTAACCAAGTATTGATCCATCAAAATCAAGATAGACTAGTTCAGGGGTCAGTATGTTATGCTGGCAGCCAATGTGGCCAGAAGCTTGTTTTTCTAAATAAAGTTTTACTGGCACGTTGCCTTTTGTGATTACATACAGTCTATGGCTTCTTTTGTGCTACAACCCTAGGGTTGAATAGTTGGGCAGAGATCAAAGGGCCTCCAAAGCCCTTCACAGAAGAATCTGACCCCCAAATGAGTCCCTTGCTACTTGAACTATGGTCCCTGTACCAGCAACACCTGGGACTTGTGAGAAAGGCAGGACCTCAGGCCCCACTAAGTTCAAATTCGCATTTTAACACAACTCACAGATAGTTTGTTTGAGAAGCACTGGACTAGGTGCCCCCCCTCCCTACCAAGTTTCCCGTCAACTCTTTAGTTCTCTAATTTTAAGACATCAAAGAGAAGAAAACTACATCCAGCAGTGGATGGTATGGAAAGAGAACCAGGATGTTGACTTAAAGGAGCTTTCTGTTTACTTGTTTGTTTGTTTATTTGCGGTACTTGGCATTCAACTTGTGGCCTCATGCTCGTTAGGCAAGTCCTCAATCATTGGAGCCATGGTCCTAGTACAAGGAATTTGAAATTTAGTTCAGTAGTTTTCAAACTTTGCCATGTGGAAGATTTCCTTGGAGGAACTTTTTAAAAATTTACTACCCTTGGGGTACTTGTTAAAAATGTGTCCCCATTTCAAATTTGGGCCTAGGAACAAACATTCTTTTCTATTTCTTTCTCTCTCTCTCTTTTTTTTTTTGGTGATACTGGGGTTTGAACTCAGTGTTTTACACTTGCTAGGGAGGCACTTTACTACTTAAGCCATACTGTTAGCCCTTTCTGCTCTGGTTATTTTTAAGATAAGGTCTCTCTTTTTACCTGACAAGCCTGGGCTGCAATTCTTTTGTTTAAGCTTCCTTCAGTAGCCAGCATGATAGTCATATGCTACCACTCCCAGATTTTTCTGTTGAGATGGGGGTCTCATGAGCTTTTTTTTGCCCAGGCTGGCCTGGAACTATGATTCACCCGATCTCAGCCTCCCAAGGCTTACTAGGATTACAGGTGTGAGCCACCATACCTGGCTGGAATTCACATTTCTAACAAGCACTCTAGGAGATTCTGATGCATGCTGGCCTTGAACTACATTCAGAATAATTCTTCCATCATGGTCTCCTTTCTTGTTATCATCAGGCTCCCTTTGTGGCAGGCCAGATGGACTACTGCATGGATCACACAGATGTCTTCCTGCCAGTCCTGGTTGGTTTCAATCCAGTGAGCATGGCCAGGTGAGCCTTCTGTATTGACTGGCCAGCCCTAGGAGAACGTGGGAGGGGACATGTCAAAGTCTATAGTACAATCACAGAGGAGAGGACAGATGGATATGGTCTTGTTTGCCAAATCTCAGAATATTATAACAAACATGAGGTATCCCTATGCTTACATGTTCCCCCCACCTTGGTTGGTTTATTTAATAATTCTTACCTTGTTTCAGAAGGGATCGAAGACAATTTATAAAAGTTCCACAAAATACAAGTCAACACACATTCAAATTGAATGAATGGGATTAGAGAGGCAAGGAAAAAAAAACAGGAGGAAAAAAATGAGGTCAGGAAAATGTATATCCCAAAGATATGTACTTTCATGTGGGGTGATTCTGAGCATCTTTTAAAAGTAGTAGCAGTGACTTTCAAAGGGCCACCTACTTCTACTTCTTGTTCAGTTCTCTCATCTTCATGCCCTGCTCTGCCTCATTCCAGGCACCCTTTTGTTCCTCTCTGGCTACTTGGATGTCCCCCCCTCTTCCTTCCCTGAGTTACAAAATTACCTCCCTCTTATTGTCTCCCTAAATGGACATTTGTTTTTGGTGGGAGTGGGGTTTGAACTCAGGGTTTCACCTTGCAAAGCAGGCTCTCTATGGTTTGAGCCACACTTCCAGCCCTAAATGGACATTTTGATCTCAAAGTCAACATGTTAGATCAATAGTGCACGGATGTAGTGCATGAGTTGCTTGGAGATTGTTTAAAAAAATTTTTTTTGTTGGTTTGCGGTAAGATACTAAAATTTATATATTGGAGGGAGGGTATTGGGGTTTGAACTCAGGGCCTCCACGCTTGCTAGGCAGGCACTCTACCTGCCTAGCCATTCTGCCAGCCTTTTTTCTTTAAGGCATCTCTGGAGATTTTGCGGGGAGGTATTTTTGAGACACAGTCTCACTACATAGCTCAAACTAGCCTTGGACTCACTATGAACCCCAAAGGCTGGCCTCAAACTCACGATCCTCCTGCCTCAGCCTCCTGAGTACTGGGATTATAAACATGTACCACCATGCCCAGCTGCATCCCTGGAAATTCTGATGCACAGCTAGGTTTGGAGGGACTGGTAAACAAACCATTGGAATGGACTACTGGCTGACACTGAAGGCTTCTTGTTGGTGGAGCCATTGCACCAAAGGGTTTTTGATTACTTTAGAGCAGCCTTGTGTAGTTATTGGAGGTCTTGGGGAGGGGGATGAGCAGGTTCTTTCTGAGGTACTCTTCCTAGTTCCAGACTCTAGGCTTGTAGTTTAATTCATATGAAGGTGTAAACAAGTCTGAGATACTTTTAACCCTGATCCTTTGCATGGAGGAGTCTCCTTCACCAAAAATAGATCTACTGCAGTGATGCTAATTTCAGGCGCTGTGACTAAGTGAAATGAAGAATTTCAAACAATGTAGGTATGGAGACCTTCCAGTTGTTCCTTAAATCAGTGACTCCCAAACTTGGCTGATCTTCAGAGTCGTCTGGGAAGCTTTTGAAAAAATACAGATTGTTGGGCTCTGCTCCAGAACTGCTGAATCTGAATCTCAGGGTGGAAGTGGTATCCAGACATGGGTAGTTATTAAAAAACAACTCCCAGTAGATTTTGATGCATAGCAAAGTCTCGAGATCTTGATTTTTAATTTTTTGGTGGGACTGGGATTTGAACTCAGGGCTTTATGCTCACAAAGCAGGTGCTATACTGCTTGAGCCACTACTCTAGCCCGTTTTGCTCTGGTTATTTTGGAGATGGGGTCTCTAGAACTATTTGCTGGCCTGGAATCACAGTCTCCTGAGCTCAGCCTCCCAAGTAGCTAGGATTACAGGTGTGAGCCACTGGTGCTCACACAATATAGATACTATCTCCTTTCTGCTTAAGTCTCCTCTTTCTTGGGTCTCTAGGAAGTTTCAGAACTAGTCTGAGAACAAATGATAGGAGGCACTTTGTACAAAGGGTATGAAATACATGAACCTTGTCTGCCTTAGAAGTCATACAGAAGAAGAAATATAAAAATAGTTTAAGAACAGATGAAACCTTTGCAGGAATGGAATGATAGGGGAAGTTCAGGATGCCATGTGGAGAGGTAGCTCTTTGAGGTCCTATCACACCAACTGATTCATAAATTATCACCTAGGAACTACAAATCTTTATTCTCTGAGAATGATTTGTAACCAGCAGGTAACAAGCCTGTAGCTCTCTTGTCTCATTAGCACATTGCTTTCTACCTGACTAATTTATTCAAGGAAGGTTCACCAAGGACCCTTATGTACTACACTTCATACTGCACTGTTATCCTTCCCTCAGATAGTCAGGGTTCTTTTCTTGGAGGTATTTTCAGAATACATTTCAGGGAAGGGCTTCTAAATGATCCTAAAATGGAAAATAAAGTGGCAGTCTTGACAGTTGGATGACAGGCGTTCCTCTGAGGGCCCATAAAGGGCAAGGTTAGTATGCCCATGACAGCAGGGGTTTATGTTAGGACCAGAATACAATATGATTCTGGTTTCTGGCTGGAACTTTAAACTTGAGTGTTGGCTTTGCTCTGGACTTACTTTGCTGAATGGATTATTATTAATTCAGAAGGGATTGGAGACAGTTTATAAAAGCTCCAGAAAATACAAGTCAACACACATTTTCAAAATAGGGATTGAAGAGGCAAGGAAAACAAGAGCGGGAGATAAAAATGGGGTCTGGAGCTCCAAGGCATATCTCTATGGAGTATTAACCTCTGACCCCAATCTCAGTGTGGGGCATTGATCCTAACTCTCAGCTAGATCCTTTTCTTTAGATCTTCCCAGACAATCCATCCAACTCTGTGTCTCTCTGTCCCCTAGAAATGACCCCATTGAAGACTGGAGTTCAACATTTCGGCAAATAGCAGAACGCATGCAGAAAATGCAAGAGAAACAGGAAGCTTTTGTGCTCAATCCTGCAGTCGGGGTAGGATCTATCTTTCCTTGTCCCATGAACTCCCCCACGCATCTGGTATGCAATTGTTTGCCACCTGCTTAAGGCCTTGGATTTTAGGTTCTGTTCATCTTGCTTAAATTCTTCAGATATTGTGCATTAATTAATATGTTTTAAATGTAATCCCACTTTCTCCTTTACATTCTCATCTTAAAGTGTTTTTTTTGGAGGGGGACTGGAATTTGAACTCAGGGCTTCTCACTTACAAAGCAGAAACTCTTCTGCTTGAGCCTCTCCTCTAGTTCATTCTGCTCTGGTTATTTTGGAGATGGGGTCTGGAGAACTGTTTGCTCAGATGGACCTTAAACCTCAATCCTCCTGATCTCAGCCTCCTGAGTAGCTAGGATTACAGGCGTGAGCTACTGGCACCTGACTTCACCTTAAAATGTTTTACCTTTTATTCCCACGCTGTATCTCAAGTCAGTAATCATTAAACACTTCCAATATCTGGGGCAGTCTCTGATTAATGAGCTATTTTCTATCTGCGTACAAACAGCTTTGAGTAGCTTTGTTTTGTGTGTGTGATATTGGGGCTTGAACTCAGGGCCTTCACCTTGAGCCACTCCACTAGCCCTGTTTTTGCGAAGGGTTTTTTGAGATAGGGTCTTGCAGAACTATTTGCCTGGGCTGGCTTTGAACCATGATCCTTCTGATCTCTGCCTCCTAAGTAGCTAGGATTACAGATGTGAGCCACCAACACCCAGCTTGGCTAGCTACTGTTATGTCTTATTCAGTCTCCCATATATCTCAAATATGGGCTTAAAATGGGATGCATTTTCATTCCTTTGCCTTTCTACATCCTTTCCATAATGGCCAGGCCATCTTAGCCTCTGGGCCCCTGCTCTTTCTATTCCTCTGGGTTGTAGATGAATCTCACTATCACCATGTACCTTTAGTCAAAGCTCTGCCCATGCCTCCCTGTGCCAGTGGTGGGACAACTGTGATCTCTTCCTTCATCTGAATGTTATGCACGAGTTCCACAGATTTATCTCCTTTATGCTCACCTCTCTTTTATTCTCTATGTACTTGTTGGCTTTCAATCTTCTTTCCTCCATCACTGCTTTTATCACTCTCTTTGCCCAATCTTGGTTTGGTGTGCTGTGTTACAAATCTGTACTATTTCAATGATGCTTTATGGGTCTGACTAAAGCCTGTGAAACATGGTATTTGGATTAGTACACTATCACAAAACTTGATGGTGGAGGGGGGTTTTCAGAAAGAAAAGCACTCTCTGAAAAACCCTTGACCCTGCTAACAAGAGCCCCAATCACTGTGACTTTCATTGTGACTTCCTCCCAGAGTGTCCTGAATGTACCATAGGGATGACCAGAGGTGACCCTTTCCTTGTCTCCTCTCTTTCAGTTAGCTCCCTACCCCTAGCACTCCTCCTCACAGCACACTGGGAGCCACCAGTACCACCAAAGGCATGCTCAGGAGTCGCTAACTAGTGTCCATGCCCAGGGGTCACCAACCACATTCCTATCCAAGGGTCACCAACCCATTCCATGTCCAGAGGTCACCTACCACATTCCATGCCCAGGGGTCACTAACGGGTGAACTTCAGGGTTTTCCCTCTTCTACCACTTCCTCTGGGTGTCATTACCTCCTCAGCCTGAGGGTCTGAGCGGCTCCTCCCGGATGAAAGGTGGAAGCGCCACCAAGATCCTGCTGGAAACTCTGTTATTAGCAGCCCACAAGACTGTGGACCGGGGCATTGCAGCCTCTGAAAGGTAGGGAGGGTATGGACAAGCAGGAGATCAGGTAGGGGTGGAGTGGGGGGGATGTGGGGGATGGCAGGTCCAGATCTACAGGGTAGCTTTCAAGAATCCTTGGACTTGGGCATTGTCCAGGTCATGTAGGCTAGAGCCTATTTCTTGCTATGGCCTCCTGCCATTGCCAGGTGGGGCCTCTAGTCTTGCTTCCATACTGACTGCTCACTTACCTCCTCATCTACTCAGATCCTGTCCTCCCCCCAAGGCTCTCTCTCCTTTATTCTTTTTCCTGCTCTTCAGTTTTGTGCTCACTGAAGCCTTTTCTGCCCCTCCTGAATGCAGTCTGGCTCTAGTCTCTGTAGGTCCCCCAGGGACCAGCAGTGCTTAGTTTTATGGGAATTGCGACTTCCTCTAGGAGGGGGTGGAGGGATACCTTGTCTTTCTGAGGGGACACTGACCCCTTTCTGGGATCTGGTGACTTTGTGTGTGTGTATGGTACTGGGGATCAAACCTAGGGCCTTGCACATGTTAGGCAAGGGCTCTACCACTAAGCTACATCCCTGGCCCTTGGTGTTTTAGACAAGGTCTTGCTGTGTAGCTCAGACTAGCCACAAACTCATGATCCTCCTGCCTCTGCCTCCCAAGAGCTGGAATTATAGGTATGGACCACCATACCTGGCTACCAGTGACTTTTCTTCTAGATGCCTTCTGGAAATCCTTCGAACATTTGAGCGAGCTCATCAGGTGACCTACAGTCAAAGCTCCAAGATTGCCACCCTGATGAAGCAAGTCAGTACCAGGTATGTGGATATCCATTTGCGGGGGACTTCCTGAGAGCAGGGGAGGCTCTGTGGATAGGTTGACATAGCGATGGTGATGGGTCTACGTGTTGGAAGGTCATGGCTGACCTCCGATTTGTTTACCCCTGTGCTCTTCTATGTGCATCTCTGGCCTATTTTCATGGTGATCACTCATGTCCTGACCTCTAATTTGTTCTCAGCTTGGAGAAGAAAGGTCATGTGCACTTGGTTGGCTGGCAGAACCTCGGCATCATTGCCATCATGGATGGAGTAGAGTGCATCCACACCTTTGGTGCTGGTGGGACCCCAGTCCTGACAATCTTTCTGATTTCCCCTGACCCAAAACCACTGGCCCACTAGTCAAACCCTTCCCTGCCCACCCATGGAGGGTCCTCAGTGTTCATGATGCCCTACCTAAATAGGCATTTCAGTCAAATGCTTCTTCCAACTCAATCCTGGGTCCCTCAACTCCAGCCCGTGCTATGGCCTCCTGCATGGGTTCCTACTCACCCCAAACCCTCCTTTCTGCTTCCTTCAACAGCTCCCTAAACCTAGCGCCATCCTTTCTTATAAAGCCCATCATTCCTCTTCTTGTTCTTCAACTTCTCAGATTTCCGAGACATCCGTGGCTTTCTCGTTGGTGATCACAGTGACATGTTTACTCAGAAGGCTGAGCTCACCAACCAGGTCAGAGGAGGGACAGGACTCGGGGGAAGTTTGAAGTTCACTGGTGTGCAGAGGGTGGGAGAGGAGGCGAAGGTAGAGATGGGTATAGGAACACATGGGATAAATTGTCTAGAGAAGGGATATGGATTAGAGGTCATGAGGCTTTGGGGCCTTGGAGCGTGGAAGGCACTAGATTTATCCCTCAAAATTTGGTTCCAGTCCTCTGATTTGCTATATCACTTTGGGCAAAATACTACCTTTTTTGGAGAGGTGGGTGGGCCTGAATAATACTTCTTTTTTGAACCTGACTTTTTTACCTGTAGTCAAAGAGCTGTATTAGATGTTTTTGCTCTAGAGTGTTTTCCTTGGAGGGACTCTCCCTTCTTCTGTCTCCAGGGTCCCCAGTTCTCCTTCTCCCAGGAGGACTTCCTGACTTCCATCTTGCCCTCCCTCACGGAAACTGACACTGTGGTCTTCATTTTCACCCTGGATGGTGAGAGGGACAATGGGAATGGTGGGGTGAGGGTCCGAAAGCAGTAGGGTGATTCAGAGGAGCTGTCCTTTCTGGGTCTTAGGACACCTGCTCAGAGGGACGGACAGGGGTGAGTGTCTTGAGTGGACACTAGGGTGGCAGGAAGAACGGCTGCATAGGCTGCTTTTCACCTCTGATCTCTCCTACTCCCCAGATAACCTCACAGAGGTGCAAACAATGGTGGAGCAGGTGAAAGAGAAGACTGCCAGTATCCAGGCCCTGGTGCACAGCACTGTGGGGCAGACCCTGCCGGTGAGAGCCCAGTCTTGAAGGAGGGGAGCCTGGGCAGCCATTACAGCCAGGCCTTCCTGCTTCTCTCTGTTTCTCCTCAGACCCCTTTGAAGAAGCTTTTTCCCTTCATCATCAGTATCACGTGGCCACTGCTTTTCTTCGAATATGAAGGGAACTTCATCCAGGTATGGGGGATGAGAGGTAATACCTGCAGTGAAGAGCTAAGAGGGGAGGGATCCCAGAAATTAGAAAACGCACACCTAAAGAGAGAAAGCTTGAGTATTTGAGGTCCCCCACCAAGCCACCAAGGTAGCGGGATATTGGGTTCAGCTCTCTCTAGGAATAGGTCATCAGTCCCTTAACAGATAGTCACTTGCCCTTTGGTACAGGTTAACTGTTGGTAGCTACTCTAGTGATCATCACTATTCAAAATCCTTCGGTATGTGGCACTATGTTGATTTCAGTGCAGATGTTACACTGATACAGTCCCTGCTTGATAACGAAATTAAATTCAAGGCACACACTGATAATAATCATAGAAATAACAGTTTGTGTGCACTTGCAGCTGAGATTAGAGTGGGCATCAGGAAATCTGGGTGCCAGTCCAGCTCTGCTGTGTGGCCCAAGAGGAGAAAGCAATTTTACATCTCTGAGCCTTGTTTTTGTCACATATCAACTTCCCACCCTCCACAGAGCAGAACCAGGCCCTTGATGGGCTGACTGGAGAGATGTGATCTCTCTCTCACCCACCCATTATTCAAACCCTGTCCTTCAGGAAGTTGACCAGGCACACTGGCACACTGCCTCAATGAACTCAGAATTCCTATGGAAACTTTCCTGCCTCTGAGCAGGAAATCCACCAAGGCACATATTTGTCCTCCTTTCCAAATGACGTTCATTTGTCACATCCCTGCTTCTTGGAATGCTTCCCACATGCTTCCTTTCATATCTCCTGTCTTCTAAGAAGTCTTCTCTAATTAACTTCAGATCGCTTGGCTCTCCATGTTATATGCCCTAACCCACACTTACAGACTCCTCCATACTATCACAATACCTAATACACATCTGACTCTGCACCTTACAAACTATCTCATGCCCATTAGCTCAGTTCTCATAACAACCTCCTAAGGGATGTGTGTTTAATGCCCCCATTTCTCTTAACCAGAACTAAGAGATGAAGACGTGGTGGTCATGACCGCATAGCTGAGACATGAGTCAGGACTCAAACCAGGTCTTGTGACTCTAAGTACATACGAAATAAATTCCAGCCATGTGTAAAAGCTGAACCAGATTCTTTCATTCATTCTTTCTTCATTCATTTAATAATATTTTTAAAGCACCCATGACATGCCTAGTACTGTTCCAGGGATAGGGTACGGGAATGGTGATCTGTGATCTTTTAATTATCTTTTTAAAAAAATGTTATAATTGCAATATATTTTATTGTAAAAACTTTAGAAAATGCAGTAAATGCAAAAGAAGGGGAAAAAACATCTATAACCCACTGTCTTACAAAAACAACAACAATAACAACAAAAAAACACTCTCATAGATTTTGGAGAATGACAGATTTTTGTTATTGTTGGGTTTTTTTGTTTGTTTGTTTTTGGCATTACTGGGGTTTGAACTTTGGTCTTTGTACTTGCAAGGCAGGTGTTGTACCACATCCCCAGCCCTTTTTGCTTTGGTTATTTTTTAAAAATCATTTTTATTAATACATAGTAGTTGTATGAGAGTTTCATTGTGACATTTCCATATATGCTTGGAATGTTGCCTTGGTTATTTTTAAGATAGTGTCTCATGTTTATGCCTGGACTGGCCTGGACCACAATCTTTCTATTTATGCTTCCTGCATAGCTGAGATGGCAGCTGCATGCTATTTAGTTGAAATGGGGTCTCAGGAACTTGTTGTTCAGGCTGGCCCCGAACCTTGATCTTCTTGATAGCTGCTTCCCGCGTAGCTAGGATTTCCAAGTTGAGCCTCTGCTCCACAATAGGCTGTTTATGTATGTGTGGTGCTGGGGATAGCGATCAGGGCTTCATGCGTGCTGGGCAAGTGCTCTGTCACTTGAGCCATGCCCTCAGCCCTGTTTAGTTTTGTTTTTGAGATAGGGGCTTGATAACTTTGGCCCGATGCCTCTTGAGACCTCTTTTCTATGCATATTTAAATATACTGTACAAAAATGGGACCACACTTGACATGCTACTTTTACATTGCCTTTCTTCACTTAGAATTATGACCCCTGGGCGGGGTTTGTGGCTCGAGTGGTAGAGCACTTGCCTAGTAAGTGCATGGCCCTGGTTCAGACCACAGTACCATCAAAAAGCAAAGCAAAAGAAACAAGATCATGAACTCTTTTTTTAAAATTAATATATTTACATCTTTTTTTTTGGTGGAACTGGGGTTTGAACTCAGGACTTTGCACTTGCAAAGCAGGCACTCTATCACTTGAACCACACCTCTTATGCTGTCATTTTTAATGCCAATGTAGTATTCCATGGTATGGATGTACCACAACGCATCTAACCTTAATTGTCCAACATGGAGACAATTTCAATATTATGAATTTTATCGGAATGCTACACTGAATATCCTTATACATGCACATACCTTTGGACATTTCACTTATTTCTGCTAGGTTGAACAACCAGAAGTGGAATCACTGGGCCAAAGGGAAGTGTAAAATTATAACACTTTTTGATACGCATGGTCAAATTGACCTCCAAAAATGTTTTGCAAACAAAGCGTGAAATTTCTTGTTTCTTCATAAACACTTGCTAGCATCTTTCTAACAAAGACATGTACCAAAACAAAAGGCATTTCAATGTTAATTTAATTTACATTTCTTTCCTTACTATGGGAGCTTATTTCTTAAAAGTATATATGGGTCATTTGATTTTTTTTTCTTTTTTCCATGTCCTCTTTCTTCATGTCTTTGGATACATTCACTTATTTTCTTTCTGATATATAAAGCAAAGAAAATAGCTTTTTTCTTTCTTTTAATTTTTTTTGGTGGTATTGGGATTTGAACTGAGGGCTTTGTGCTTTCAAAGCAGGTGCTCTAACTGGTGGAGACACACCGTTAGCACAGAATGCAGATTTTTTCCACTTTATATTTCCCCCAGTTAATTATTTTCTATTATCTCTATTTTTGATGTAGCAACATTTTATTTAAAAATCTCTGTACTCAAATTTCTCAGTCTTTTTCTTTGTCTTTCAGTAATGCTGGCTTTATCTTTCTAAATGGGTTAAAATTGCTTGAAAGTAGGAGACTTCCATAGGGGCTTGTAAATCTTTAGTTGTAGAAATATTTTTATTGTAAACTTCTCCCACGCTTTTATTTTGAAAACTTTCAAATGTATAGAGAAATTGCAAGAATAGTACAACAAACATGTTTCCATAGCCTTACCAATCTTTTGCTACATTTGCAGGATGATTGGGACATTCACACCGATTACATCAGAGAACGTCCCCTGAGAACTAAGGCATTTGTCTATATAACCACAATATAGTTATCCATCAGGAAAAACAACTAATCCAGTACTATTTAAAATCCCAAGCACAGTCATGTTTCCCCAGTTATCCCTGTATTGTTTTTATTTGCTGGGTCCAGAATCTGATCAAGGATAAGGCATTGCATATAGGAATAGGTCTTTCTGGTGTCTTTTTAATGTGCCTACATCATTTTTTTTCTCTTACTACATTGCTATTTTTGAAGGTTACACAAATTGTTTTTCCAGAATCTGCCTAACTTTGGATTTGCCTGGTTATTTTTTTTGTAATATCCAGGTTAAATTTTTTGACAAGAGCACTGCATAGGGGAGGTTGCAACTCGACCTATGCATGACATCAGGAGGCAGGCAGCTGATATTAGTTTGTCCCTTTATTGGTGAGGCTACATCTTGCCCCTTGGTTTAGGTGACATCTGATAGATTTCTCTGCCTCTTCTTGTTCAGCAACTTTTCACCCATGTTTTTAGCATGGGTTGAATCAATTATTATTATGGTGGAGTTTTTTGGGTGGGACAAGGATTTGAACTCAGGGCTTAGCCTTTACAAAGCAGGTACTCTACTGCTTGAGCCACACCTACAGTCCATTTTTTTGCTCTGGTTTCTCTTGGAGATGTGGGTCTCACAAACTGTTTGCCTCGGCTGGCCTCCAACCATGATCCTCCCAATCTTAGTACCCAAGTAGCTAGGATTACAGGCGTGAGCCTCCAGCATTTGACTCCTATGGTGGTTTTAAACTGGTGATTTTCTGTTTCTATCAGTTCTAGCTATATTCACTAGTTGGCATTTTTCTATAGAGAAAAACTTTCCCTTCACTTCTCACCCCATCTGTTTGTTTAGTGTCATTGTAGACTCATGAATGTTTTGTTGTTGTTAAATGTGTTTTTAATACATTCCTGTCATTATTATTCGTTTTGATGCTCAGAATGAGAACTCATTCAAGTTGGCTCCTTCTGACATCCCTGCAGCTGTATTTGAACAATCTTTGCTGTGCTTTGCTTTTGCCGAACAAAAACAAAAACAAAAAACCTCCTTCTTTGGCAAAGGGTAACATAATTTTTACATCTTGTGTGTTTTGCTTAACAAGATGTTCAGGAAACAACTTCATTGCACAGCTATCTTTCCCATTGCTGTTTCCATGTGTGTGTGCACACATGCAATAGTTTACCTGCAACCTCTGGTTCCCACACTTTGATGTTAAAATAATACTGCAACGAATGTGCACGTGTTTTTGGTATGTTAGAGTGTTTCTTTGGGATAGATTTCTGGAAGAATTAGGAAAATACCTGGGTCAAATGGTACACACATGTGAACTTTGTTAGATATTGTAAAATTTCCCTCGAAGGGGGTGGTACCATTTGGCTTCTCACACCAGCAATAATATATGAAAATGCTCATCCATACAACCTTTCTTAGAGTATTGTTCAGCTTTTGGACTTCGCCACCTTGAGAGATGAGCAATGCTGTTCCTGTATAATTTCCTCCCTCTCTCCCTCCCTCCTCTCCTCTTTTCTTCTCTCCCTTCCTTCTCTCTCTCCTCTTTCTTTTTTTTTTTTTTGTGTGTGTGGTACTAGTGCTTGAACTCAGGGCCTACACTTCGAGCCACTCCCAGCCCTTTTTGTGATGGGTATTTTTGAGATAGGGTCTCATGAACTATTTGCCCAGGCTGGCTTTGAACCACGATTCTCCTGATCTCTGCCTCCTGAGTAGCTAGGATTACTGGTGTGAGCCACCAGTACCTGGCCTATCTTTCTTTCTGATAGGATCTTGCTATATAGCCCAAGCTGGCCTTGAACTTGCAATCCTCCTGCCTCCACTTCCGATGTGCTGGGATTACAGGCATGTAACACCATGGCTGGCATTTCTGTGTAATTTTCACTTGCATTTATTTTATTTATTATTTTAAATTGTTTTTCAATGCTGGAGATGGAACCCAGGGCCTTACACATACTAGGAAAGTGCTGTACAAAGGAGCTGTGTTCCTAATCTGTACTTCTTTTACAGAAGCTGGGCGTTTTTCACCTGCTTAAAGGTCTTCAGTGAGCTATATGCTCCTTTACTTTGCTCCTTTTTCTTTTCTTTTCTTTCTTTTTTTTTCTTGTGGTGCTGGGGTTTGAACTCAGGGCTTCATGAGCCCTGTGGTTCAGGCACTCTACCACTTGAGCCACTCTGCCAGTCCCTACTTTGCTCCTTTTTCTCTTTCTTTCTTACTTTCTTTCTTTCTCTCTCTCTCTCTCTCTTTCTTCTATTTTTTTTTTTTTGGACAGGCAATTTTTCCATAGCTTCAGTATCTTCTCCTTAAATTAAGACCAAAAAAAAAAATTGTAACGCTTAGAACTGGATCACTTGGCTCTTTCTCTTCTTGTCTCTTCCCAGTTCAAAATGCTTGCGTCTCTTAATAGCCAGCATCCTCTTGGATCTGCACCACACATTCCAGCCTCAGCACAATCTTCTTTGTGGTTTTAGACTTCTTCCAAAAAATTGGCTTTGTCTGCCCACCATAGCCGCTCTGCTTCCGATCATAGCACCTCTTTCCTTGGCCATACAGGGAATCCTTGCTCTTCTTACAGGGGGTCACTTTGTGAGGCTGATGCTTGCTGCACTTCTTACAGAAAGTCCTTCAAGTTTTAGGTCACTTGACCGTCTTTGCAGTAGAGCTGCATGCAAATAGAAATGGGGATCCAGCATCCATGTACCTTTGCTCCTTTTTCTAGCAGTCTTTTAATCTTTTTGGAACCTTGATTATGAATTTCTTTATAAAGACATAGCTTTTTATGTCTGAAAAATGTTGTGAATATTTTCTCTGCATTTTAACAATGCAAAAACTGCCTTAATTTTTCTGAGGCTGAATTTATCAATTCTTTTGTTACTGAACTGGGATCTTGAGACTCAGAAAGCTTTTCCCAAACTCAAGCTACAATGGAATACCACCTGTGTTTTTCTTCTAATATTTTCTTTGAACATTTAGGTGTTTAATTCATTAGGAGTTTATTCTTGTGTAATGGGGTAAGGTGTGAATCCAAGTTTATATTTTTCCAAGAGATTATCCAATTGTTCTGATATAATTTTTCTGAGGTACTGGGATTTGAACTCAGGGCCTCACATTTACTTGAGCCACGTTCCCAGCCCCAATATGATTTCTTAAGTCTATCATTTCCTGAGTGATTTGGGATGCTGCATGTATCACATACTCAATTTCCATGTGCATTGGTCCATTTATGGACTTTTTTTGTGGTGCTGGGGATTGAGCCTGAGGTCTTGTGCATGGTAGGACATTTCTGGAGTTTATGTTGTTCCACTGGTCTGTCTGTGGATGTGTCGGCACTATGTGTTTAATTACAGAGGATTTATGGTATGTTTCATACCTAGTAGTCTTCATTACGTCTTAAGGATTTTCTTGACTATGATTGCAGATTTATTTCCCCACATGAAATTTGGAATGAATTGTATAAGCTTTAAAATATTTTTGTGTTAATTATAGTCAACAGTGATATAATGATATAGCCCAGATTAGATGACCTCTGTCCCACAGGGCAGCGTGACGTACAGCCTAGAGCGTGAGTGCTGCATACCAGCCCGTTTCCTGCTGGTTGATCAGATTTCTGTTCTTATACTCAGTATCCTTGCTATGCACTTGCTAAATGTCTTCAATATACACTCTTCCAGGGGTTTACATGACTAGCTGTTTAGGAGTTAATAAAGAGATAAAAGTTGCACTAGCCTGTTTCCTTAGCTTGCTAGGACCACATGAACCCCCTCAACACATTACTGGATCCCTGTTGTTCATGCTATAAGGCTAAAAATATCTGCGTGGGCCAAGAACAGGTGACAGTTATACTCACAATGCCTTGTGTTTGTACAATGTTTTAGTTTTCAACATGCTTTCTCATTCATCCAGGAGATAATCAAGGTAGGAAATGCTCTCATCATTGAATCAGAAGACCTAGATTTAAGTCCTTGTACTGTGTCTCACTATCACATGAGCTTATCCAAGCTAATTTTCTCCTGACCTCTAGTTTACCCCTATGTAGAAATAAGAATAAGAAAAAAATATTCTATAAGGGTGTTGTAAAGATTTAATAGAATTAATTTTTAGAAAACATGGATTAAAGTTGGGTACAGTGCTCATAACTGTAATCCCAGCTACTCAGGAGGCAAAGATACGGAGGACCAAATTTCCAGGCCAGTCCAGGCCGAAAGTTCATGAGACAGAGACACCATGTCAACCCATAGCTGGGCATGATGGCACTGTCATCTCGGCTACATGGGGAACCTAAATAGGAGAATCTCAGTCCAGGCTAGCCAGGACAAAAACTCAAGGCCCTATCCCAAAAATAACTAAAGAGAAAAGGACTGGATGACAAGCTCAAGAGGTAGGGTGCCTGCAAGCACAAGGCCCTGAGTTTAACACCCAGTATGACCAAAAAGCCCCCAAAACCCTCCAAAAAACCAACATGTTTTAACCAGCAATCATGTGTCCACCATTGTCGAAAGGTCTGTGATTCTGGAGCAGAATTAGACACCAATTTCTGCCCTCAAAGAGGCTGTGGTTTAGTGGATGAGTCCCAGGACTAATATTTCTCCCTTGTTTGGTACCCAAGGAGCATAAGGAAAATTCTGGCAAGAACAAAACCTGACTATGGAAGGACTCAAAGAAGATATCTGTCCACCCAGGGGTCAAACCTGTAAATGGGTGACATTGCCAGGCTTGCCTGGGACAACTGTCCTAGGCTTGCGTTGCCACTGTCTAACTTTTAAACCCTGGGCTGCATTTTGGTCTCTGGTTTTCTATCGTTAATTTCCTGTCTGTTAGTGGAGCCCTTCCACCCTGCTGCTCTCCCACCCTCTCATTTTCCTTTCTTCTGTTTGTCCTTTTTAGAAGTTCCAGCGTGAGCTAAGCACCAAGTGGGTCCTGAATACCGTGAGTACTGGGGCCCACGTGCTTCTGGGGAAGATCCTACAAAACCACATGTTGGACCTTCGCATTGGCAACTCCAAGCTCTTCTGGCGGGCCCTGGCCATGCTGCAGGTACGAATATGCTGGGTGGACCACAGGGAACTGTCCTCAAACCCTGGGCTACCACAGGAGGCACTTTGCAGAGGCAGGGAGATGTGCAGGAGTCAGGGGTGATGGTTTTCTCCTCTGTGCCTCTCTCTGTCTTTTTTTTTTTTATCGGGCACATCCTCCTGAGTTTGTGTGCACATCCGGGTGTGTGTTTGTGAAATTATAACTATCAGCCAAGATTCTTTTAACTACAAGAATGTGATAGTAGCCCAATTCATGTTGGTTTAAGTTAAACAAGGCAAGTGATTGCCTTGAACTGAGCAGTTGTAGGACAGCCAGATAATCTAATGATGGGATCTAGAACCTTCAGCGCTTAGGTCTACTGTCTTTTGTGTTGCTCTCATTTCAGGCAGGTTTTCTCCATTGGGTGGCACATTGTCCAGGTGTAGTATCTGCCAGACATCCTGCTGATTTGGCAACCTTACTGTGAACAGAGTTTATCTGTCTCTGTGATTCCCTGAAAATTTGTGGGGTGGAGGGATGGCAGTCACTGATTTGTCTTGGGTCACATACACATCCTTGAGCCAATCACTGTCCTCCACGGGACTACTCTGCCCCACCCGCCTCAAGTCCTTTTCCTTTAAGATGGTGACAGGGGCCAGGAATGGTGTTATACCCTTGTAATCCCAACACTGGAGAGGCTAAGGTAGGAGGAGGATTGTGAGTTTGAGGTCAGCCTGGGCTACATAGTGAGACCTTGTCTCCAAAAAAAAAGCTTTAATTAAATTTCATGGTCTGAGCACGTGGGAACAATGGTACCCCAGAGGATAATTCCAGGAGGGGGAATGAATGCTCACCAGATAGCATGATGGATAAGCCTGAAGGTCACTATCCTTGACCTTCAAGGTTGCTCATTTTAGCAAAGAAAAAAATACAAGACTCCCAGGTAAGCCTGAATTTCAGATAAGTAAGGAATACTTTTTTAGTAGAAGAATGTCTCATGCAATATTTGAGACATGTTTTTTCATTATATACCTGGAATTCAAATTTAACTAGATGTCTTGTATTTCTTATGTTTCTATTTGTTAAGTCTGGCAACCCCCTGTGAAAAGAGTCAATCTAAACTAGGTGTGGCTGCTCAAGCCTGTAATCTCACTTACTCAGGAGATGGAGATTGGGAAGATCATCGTTCAGGGTAAGCCTGGGCAAAAAGTTTTTTGAGGCCCCATCTCAACCAATAGCTGGATGTGGTAGTGTACATCTGTCATCCCCAGCTATGCAAGGAAGCACAAATAGGATTCTGGTCCAGGGTGTAATATAAGACCCTATCTCAAAATAACCAACACCAAAGAGCTGGTAGAATGACTCAAATGGTGGTGCATTTGCTTAGCACAAGTGAGGTCCTGAGTTCAACCCTAATACTGCAAGCAACCCTCCAACCAATCCATGCACAGTTAGTGAGCACCCACCATGTTCCTAAAAGAACCTGTGAACTTCACTCACATCCACCAGAACTACAATGATCAGAAGGCTTCGCGGATCCGTGATATTTGAGCTGGGCTTGGTCTTATGACTTGGATAGATGAAGGGCAAAAGGACATTCCTGTTAGAAATTCTGAGCATCTGTCAAAGCCCAGAAGGGGGACGAGACATGATGTTTGGGGACACAGGTCTGAGCAGAGTAGAGTCATGATCCTGAGTGGTAGAGATTATGAGGGAGCAAGAAGGAAAGGGATTGTGAAAGATACAACTTGCCAAACATACCTAGGCCTGTGCCATCCAAAACAACAGCCACTTGCCACCTGTGGCTATCGAGCACCTGAAATGTGGCCAGAATGGCTAGAGGACCTGAATTTTTGGTTTTATGTAAAGACTGAAGCAGTGTAATTTTTCACTAAATGCAACTTTATTGTTTTGTGATAGGATGGCATTTCAATTTTTAACATTGTAAATTAGGTGTCTAAATTGAGGTGTGCTGTAATCATAAAGTATACACCAGATTTCAAAGACTTATTACAAAAATATTGTGAAATAAGTCAGAGGTGGTGGCTCACATCTATAATCCCAGCTACTCAGGAGGTGGAGATCAGAAAGATCAAGGTTCAAGTCCAAACCAGGCAAAGCTTTCTCTCAAGAAATAAGGTAGGTGTCATGGTGTGCACCTATCATCCTAGCTAGGTGGAAGGCATAGGTAGTAGGATTTTGATCTGAGACCAGTCCTGGGCAAAAACTTGAGACTCTATCCAAAAAACAACTAGAGCAAAAAAGGGGTACATAGGAGTGTGCCTAGCACTCACTAGACCCTGAATTCAAACCTCAGTGCTGCCCAAAATGTTATGTATATAATATTTATGTGTGTTTGTGTGTGTGTATATCTTTACTCACAACTTTTCATTCTTTTGAGCCAAGGTCTCAAAAGACCTTGGCCTGGTCTCCAATCCAACTCATGATTCTCTTTCCTCAGCTTCTCCAGTGCTGGGATTAAGGCATGTACAACCACATCTGGCTTCACTAGTAATTTTTAATATTGCTTACATATGGAGATATTTTGAATATATTGGCTTAAATAAAATATATTCATTAAAATTGATTCCAGCTGTTTGTTTGTTTGTTTGAGACAGGGTCTCCCTATATAGCCCAGGCTGGCCTTGAACTTGTAAGCTTCCTGCCTCAGTCTCCTGAGTGTTGGGATTAGCAGCATGTACCACCATACCTGCCTTAGTTGTTTCTCTCTCTCTTTCAATTCAGCTGCTGGAACACTTAAAATTATGTACACGGCTTGCATTATATTTCTGGACAGTGCTGAGCTAGACAGAGGGAAGGACAGTGACAAAAGGGAAGGATTTGTGCTTGCAGATGTCTGGCAGCAGTGTGCAGGGTGCACTTGGTTAGGAAGGAAACGGGAAGGAGGAAGTTCAGCTTAAAATTACTAACATATGGGATTGTTAGGACATGGCTGAACATCTGACCAACTTGCTATTCATGGTAGCTTTACCCAGTCAATCCTGGCCCACTGCCAACCCCCCAACGTAGCTTTTCTTTATACTTGAGGATTATGGGATTGCACAAAAGAACAGTTCTCTACAGACTCTACAGTCAGTCTTCAGGATCCCAGCCTCCCTTGTTCCCAGACCTTTCTTCTCCATTGGTCCCATTCTCAGTTCCCTTGACCTTCTAGCCTTCTACTGACCTCCCCACTTCTTCCGCAGCGGTTCTCAGGACAGTCCAAAGCTCGATGTATTGAGAGCCTCCTCCAAGCCATCCATTTTCCTCAGCCACTGGCCGATGAAATTCGAGCTGCTCCCATCTCCCGCCATGTCCAGGTTGCAGATGAAAAGGACAAGGTATCCTGCCCACTGTTGGTCACTCAACAAACACTTACTGAGGGGTACTTTCAATATGTTAGGAACTTGGCTTGACCTTGGGTTTACAAAGTTCAGTGCTATTCTCTCTCCAAGAAGGTTCCCATTCATGGAGAAGATATGACTGTGACAAGTGGTCACAGAGGCATGAAAAAGATATCAAAAAGGAATCTTCCATTTTGCCTTGCAGGGGAGTCAGGAAGAGGAGGGAGAAGGGTTTTTTTGGGCTGGGTTTTGAAGGATGGACAGAAGTTTCCTATTCAGGGTGAAGATTTCTTTCTGCTCTTGACTCACCTCATTACCACTTTCTAGTTTTGGTAACACTGGATTCTATTCCCGAATCCAGTTGATGGTTCCTGACTCACACACAGGATGCTCAGAGTTCTCCAGATGGCTTCACTTTCTCAGCCTTCAGTTCTCCCTTCCTATTCCCCACAGGTGATCCCCACAGCCTTGCTGAGTCTTGTGTTCCGGTGCTCCATCCCTGAGGCTCAGGCACACCTGGCTGCAGCTCCTTCTGTCTGTGAGGCTGTCAGGAGCGCCCTGGCGGGGCCAGGTCGGAAGCGCAGCGCGGACCCCCTGGAAACCTTACAGCCTGCTGTGCAGTGAACCGGTGTTTCTGGGCTTATGATGGGGCCCCAGCCCAGGACTTGTGCCAGTAGCACACATGGTGGGAGGGAGAAGTCCAGTTTCCAGGGATGCCAACACCCCAGGATGGGGAGAAAGATTTTTCTCTACCTTGGGAGGGAGTTCTTGTTCTCAATCCAGTGCTTTTCACTTTCACTGGCTTATTCTGATCTTAGAAATAAAGAAATATGTCTCGTATTGGAAAATTACCCTTCCAAACTCAGTAAATCACTCAGAAGACCAGAGGTGGGACAGCATGGTGGCTTGGATTGGTCCCCAAAGCACATTTATTTCTTTAATTCTTCCCCCCCATTCCCTTGTCCTGTGACCCAAACCTTATTCCAGCATCCCTGTAGCCTCCATCTGCAACACACAACCACGAGTGCACATGCATTCACTCACACACACAAACAAGGAGAGGTGGGGACTTTAGATAATGCCAGGAAAAGAGGGAAGAAGCTGTGTCTCTAACATAGGTCACCCAGAGAAAGGCTGTTCTGATTAGACATGACAGGATCCTTGTTACTTGAAACCAGTAAGCTGAGGGCCTTTGCAGCACCCCTACCCTGTGTTTGTAGAAGGAACCTAAAGAACACTGGGGCGCTGGATACCCTGTGGTGACATGGCCCAATAACACTAGAAACCTCAGTCTTCAGTTGTTACAGGTTTGACAAATCAAAGGCACCTAGTCCATCCCAGATCCATTTCCCTCTCCAGTGCCTGCAGCAATGACCCAAATAACAGAGAACTGGCTCCCCCTAGTGGCAAAGAAAGGTACAGAGAATTGACATCAAGGAACATTTTTGGGGGATAAAACTTCCCCATGAAGAGGTTCCCTGGAAATTTTAGGCAGGAAGATGACTGCAAAATCTGCTAAACCTAGATTTCTGCTTTCTGAGGATAATCAACTTTTTATAGTTCAGTACTAGCCACAGTCTCAAGAATCCATCAGGGGTCTTGGAACATCTCCCCCAACAATAATGGGGACTACTGTATTTGTTGAGAGGTTTATTTGTTATTGCTGCTTTGGTTTGGTTTACTTTTTTGTTGTTGGTTTTGTTTTGGTGGAACTTGGGTTTGAACCCAGGGCTTTACATTTTCAAAGTAGGCGCCCTACTACTTGAGCCACATCTCCAGCCCTGATAATCAACCTTTTAAAGGCACCCATAAGACCCCTCCATCCACCTGCAGGACTCCAGCCTCTCTCTGAGCTGGACCACATCTTCCATTGCTGTCTTCCATTGCAGGACTCCAGCCTCTCTCTGAGCTTCCTGACCACATCTTCCATTGCTGTCTTAAGTCTTTTATCCAATTCTCCTTTCTCTAACACTGCATCCTTCAAACATACTTTTTCCTAACTCTACAACTCAACATGGCTGAGGTAAAGCAAAGATCCTGAAGGGGTCTCTGCTTCCTTTTGCCCACAACTCTCACCTATGTGTTTTCATTGGGAAATCCACCTCTTACTGTGGCATCATGAGCAGAGTTGTCAAAGAAGATACCCAGCTTTCTGGAGATGGAGTAGGGCAGAGTCTCTCATGACCTTTTGATGATGCCAACTTGTGTGGCAGCTCCCCTTATACATGTGGGTGGGAGATGGCACAGGGTTAGATTTCCTCCCCACATTGATGTAGGGTTACTCTAGAAGCCCACAGTTCTTTTATTTGTATAAAAACATCAAGTGAATTTTTTTTATATAGTTGGACATGATACTCCAGTGCTGTGAACCAGGTGAAGTACTGCTCAGCCTTGGAGGGACTTTAGAGGTTAGACATACTCTGCCATTGCAGAATGGATTTACCCAATGAAAATATATAGGAGAGAATTGTACAGCGAGAGAAGCAGAGATCTCTGCAACATTCTTGCCTAACTTTAGCCATGTTGAGTTGTAGAGTTGGGAAGAAGTGTTAGAAGTTAGTCATACTCTGCCATTGCAGACTAGACAAAGATAACTCAGATCTGATCCCTACCCCCACCCAGACACTCATAAACACACATAAGCAATTCTAATACAAGACAAGAGTTGAAATGGATTGAAGCAACTGGGTACAGAGGGCTGCCAGATTGTAGGGTAGGCCAAGAATAAAGGGAAGTTTTGTATGGGGTGGGGTAAAGAAACAACCAAAGAAAACCCAAGACTGTTTGGAGACTTCCACTGGTCTGTGGATCTCAGAGGGTCATTGTCATTGTCAGTGGAATCTATGCTCTAGGCAGAGCTAAAGAAGTTCAAAGATTTGTTAGAACTATCCAGAGATAAATGGTAGCTTCATAACTTTTAACACTATTTGGAGAAAGCAAACACCCGAAGGCAAAAAACAACTAGAAAGTAATTCATTGTCAATACAAGGCAGCAACTTTGCTGAAATGACTAAAGGGTGTGGCTCAGAAGACTACATTCACTGTGGAAGAGGAAGGAAATCATTTTCTGGTATACCTATTTGCTGGATCAAAAACAAACAGAGGATGGGGTAAAAGATATTTGTATATTGCACATACTTCAAGCCTAATATATTAAAATCTGAAGTTATTCCAAAGTAAAATTCTGCTAAAAATAAAATTAAAATTCCTAAAAATTACAACTGCATATAATATATGGGAAGGGGAAAAATGAAATTTAAAATATTCTAAGGGCCATGAATTAAATCATAAGCGACTGAAGAGTTTGATTATTTTAAGATGTTGCTGAAAATGTGCACACTGCATTTTAAAAGATATTCACGTTTGTGGAGTGGCTTTGGTAGCACATCTGTCTAGCAAGTATGAGACCCTGAGTTCAAACTCTAGTACTGCAAAAAGTAAATAAATAAAGAAACAAACAAACAATGAAGGAAGGAAGGAAAAAGAAAGAAAGAAAGAAGGAAATTCACTGGAACTGGAGGTGAAGGTCAATGGTAGAGTGCTTGCCTAGCTTGTATGAGACCCTGGGTTTGATCCCCAACACTGGAAGGAAAGAAAAGAAGGAAGGAAGGAAGGAAGGAAGAAAAGAGAGAGGGAGGGAGGAATGAAGGAAGGACAGAGGAAGGAAGGAAATGAAGGAAGGAAGGAAGAAGATACCACTAAGATGGGGGCAGCAAAGTTTTTCTTTAAAAGACTAGATAGTAAGTAGTTTAATCTTTCAGGCCAGGAGTCCCTGTTGTAACTACAGTAGACCTTTGCTATCCTCAGGTCTATGGTTCTGAGGAGACCGCCATTGAGGGAAAATCCGTGCATGCACAGACACAGAGTTCAGTGCTGTACTGCAGATGCTTGGTTCGCCTTTTCCCGTAATGCTGCCCAACTTCTGCTAAAGACATGTCGCCTTTCAACAAATCCGAAATTTTCACTTTTATTACTTAAATACATTAGTTTTTACCTTGCTTTTTGGGCACCATCTGCTTTGGGGGAGGCAGATTTTCACAAAATTAAAGGCAGGGAGACACTCAGCAGATTACAAGGATTCGAACACAACTGGTGATAAGTAAGACAGGACTGACTGAGTGCTTCTCTGCATCAACTGAGCTGCATAAAGCATGCATGGCAATTAAAATTTTTTGAATTTGATATTTATTTATTTGCTTACTTATTTGACTATGCTGGGTCAAAACCACATGTAATAGATGTGTGAGTAAGGAAGGCTTACTGTACTCAACTCTGATGCTGTAGCATGAAAGCAGCCATAGGCAATATGTAAAATGAGTGTGGTGTGTGCCAATCAATTTTTATTTCCAAAAAACAGGCAGCTAGATCCATGCCTATCATCCTGTACTAGTATCAACTCAAAGTGGATTAAGGACCTTAATATCGGACTTGAAACCTTTAGTTAGTACAGAAAAGAGTAGGGAATACTCTGGAAGCAATAGGTACAGGTAGGGACTTCCTCAGTAGAACCCCAGCATCTCAGCAACTAAGAGAAAGGATGGACAAATGGGGCTACGTGAAATTAAAAAGCTTCTGCACAACAAAAGAAATGGTCTCTAAACTGAAGAGACCATCCCCAGAGTGAGAGGAAATATTTGCCAGCTATACATCACACAAGGGACTGATAACCAGAATATACAGGGAACTTAAGAAACTAAACTCTCCCAAAATCAATGAACCAATAAAGAAATGGGCAACTGAACTAAACAGAACTTTTTCTAACGAAGAAATCCAAATGGCCAAAAAACACATGAAAAAATGCTCACCATCCCCAGCCATAAAGGAAATGCAAATTAAAACCACACTAAGAGTCTACCTCATCCCAGTTACAATAGCTATCATCAAAAACACCACCAACAACAAATGCTGGCAAGGATGTGGGGGGAAAAGGAACCCGCATACACTGCTGGTGGGAATGCAAGCTAGTGCAACCACTCTGGAAAACAATATGGAGGCTTCTTAAAAAACCAAACATAGATCTGCCATATGATTCAGCAATACCACTCCTACAGATATATCCAAAAGAATGTGACTCAGGTTATTACAAAGGCACTTGCACACCCAAGTTTATTGCAGCACTATTTAAAAAACAGCCAAGTTATGGAAACAGCCAAGATGCCCCACTACTGACGAATGGATCAAGAAAATGTGGTACTGATACACAATGGAATTTTACTCAGCCACAAAGAAGAATGAAATTTTGTTATTAGCAAGTAAATGGATGGAACTGGAAAACATCATCTTAAGTGGAGTTAGGCTCAGAAGGCCAAAAATCACGTTTATTTTGCATCCATCATTGAAACAAAGGATATAGAAAGGTTGAATGTTTTAAGAAATGGGAGAAGATAGGCCATGAAAATAACAATTCAAAGAAAATTGTTACAGCAATATTAATATCAGAAAAAAATAACCAAAGGCAAAAAGTGTTACTGGAGAAAAATATGGTTTTCACAACAATAAAAGATTTAATTCGCCAGGAGCATATTACAATTTTAAGTAACAAAAGTATATAAAACAATATCCACAGACTTCACAGGAAAAATAAGCAAATCCATACTGTAGGAGCTTTTACATAGCTGTCTTAG